AGCCCCGAGGATGCTCCGGGGCTGTCCCGGGCTGTCCCCAGCATCTCCCGGGGCTGTCCCGGGGCTGTCCCGGGCTGTCCCCAGCATCTCCCGGGGCTGTCCCGGGCTGTCCCGGGCTGTCCCCAGCATCTCCCGGGGCTGTCCCGGGCTGTCCCGGGCTGTCCCCAGCATCTCCCGGGGCTGTCCCGGGCTGTCCCGGGCTGTCCCCAGCATCTCCCGGGGCTGTCCCGGGTACATCCCGGGCCAGTCCGTGCCCGTGGGCACCGTGACCTCCCCTGGCCCGGCCGCCGCCTCCTCCGCTCGCCAATCCCCGGCAGAGCTGTTCAGACTGGCACTAATACCCCCATTAATGCTCTCATTAATAATGCCCTCATTAATGCTCTCATTAATAATGCCCTCATTAATGCTCTCATTAATAATACTCTCATTAATATTCCTGTTCAAACCCTTAGTTCAGCTTCCTTCGGCCAGCCCCGGGCGCCGCTCCCCTTTCCCAGGGTTGTTTTCCCTGGAATTCCCGGGGCAGTTTGTTGTTTCCCTGGAATTCCCCGGGGCAGTTTGTTGTTTTCCCTGGAATTCCCGGGGTAGTTTGTTGTTTTCCCTGGAATTCCCGGGGTAGTTTGTTGTTTCCCTGGAATTCCCGGGGCTGCTGCTGCTTTTCCCTGGAATTCCGCTGCTCCGGTGGGATTGGAGCGCTGCTCCCTCTGCTGCTTTTGCGCTGCGATATTTTCCTGCCCTGGGCAGAATTCCCTGTTTTCCCAAGCAGGACCTGGGCAGAATTCCCTGTTTTTACCCAAGCAGGACCTGGGCAGAATTCCCTGTTTTTATCCCACACAGGACCTGGGCAGAATTCCCTGTTTTTTCCCAAGCAGGACCTGGGCAGAATTCCCTGAGTTTTTTTTTTCCCAAACAGGACCTGGGAGATTTCCCTGTTTTCCCAAGCAGGACCTGGAGATATTTCCCTGTTTCCCAGGCAGGACCTGGGCAGAATTCCCTGTTTTTACCCAGGCAGGACCTGGGCAGAATTCCCTGTTTTTTCCCAAGCAGGACCTGGGCAGAATTCCCTGGTTTTTTTGGGATTTTTTTTTTGTTTTTTTCCCAGGCAGGACCTGGGCAGAATTCCCAGAATTTTTTTTCCCAGGCAGCGCATCCCGGGAAAGCCGGGAGCAGGAAGGATTGGGGGACAGCGAGCGCAGCTGAGCCGCTCCGGGGCAGAAACGCGGCATTTCTCTATCTACCTAAATCGAGACAATTCTAAATACATGAACATACGTCTAAATATAAATATAGCTATAAATAAAATCTAAAGACATAAATCTAAATAAATATAAATATATAAATATATTAAAAAATATATAAATATCAATATACGCTAAATAGATAACTCGAAATTTAAATATAAATAAAAATATATAAAATAGAAATAAAATAGAAATATAAATGAAATAAATACAAATTATATAAATATAAATATAAATATAAGTATAAATATAAATTAAATATAAATATAAATATAAATATAAATATAAATATAAATATATAAAAATAAAAATAAAAAAATATATAAAAATAAAAATATAAATATATAAAAATAAAAATAAATATATATAAAAATAAAAATAAAAATAAAAATAAAAATAAAAATAAAAGTAAATAATCTCGCTAATGAACGCCCGAAGCGGACCAAACCCCACCTACCATTAATTTGATCCTGGGACAGAAACTTCGCCTGGAGCAGGAAGGGAGAGGA